TATATTTAAAATTTTATATGAATTAAATAAATATTCATTGAATATAAGTAAAAATAGTAATTATGGTTTTTTTGTAACACACTGTATTTTATAATTAAAGATAAGATCTATAATTAATATGTTACAATATATTAAAAATTTTAAAAAATTTTGCAACTATTATAATTAGTTGCAATTGATTATAACTAGTTGTAATTATTATAATAAATTGTAATTATTAAAATAATTATAAAATTTTTTAATTATTAAATAAATATAATACATAATTTATATTAAAAATTTTTAAATGTGATATTTGTTATTCAGTAATTAAAATAATAGTATCTTTGTGATATTTTGATCGCTGAATATTGAGTTATCACATTCAAAATCATTATACATCAAAATATATTAATTTATATTAAAAATTTTTATACAGAAACTTTGAATGTGATAACTTGACATCTAGTAACAGAATATCATAAAAATATCACTATTTAATTCATCATGATTGTTTATATATAAATCTCTTGTCGCTTTAGTCAAATATGTATAAATTATTATTACATAATAAGCATCATTAGTGCATGTACCATCGATCCACAATAAGACTATAGCCAAAATTGCCTTCCGATATTTTCGACTAGTGCTTCAAGCTAGGTTTCGGCATCTGCTTTCTCGTCGGATTTCATAGTAAACGTCATCATCGTGATGACGTTCTATAAATTTTACGTGATTAAGTAGAAAATCTTGGGATGTTCTTGTAGTTAAAATTGAAAATATTCAATGCTTTAATATAAAAATACCATATGGAACGCACGCAGATTTTAATTTTTTTATAAATAAGAAACTTGCACCGGATCATATTATTTGGAATTTAATTTACTCCCCAATAAACAGTATCAACAACATGGAAAGTATTGACCAATTGCCCGCCTTTATCAGTACTATTGTTCAGAGCCTGTATGCGTAGAACATGTCGCTCTGGATGACCAAGTTTCTCAATGGTCACTGGCTTAGAGAAAAATTCCTGTTTTTTATTACATAATTCATATATTTTTATCAATTGATATACAAAGGAATAAAACGATTGATAAATATTATATTTGGGCTCTATTACTTGTTCATATTCGAAAGCCCAAAAGACAAATCTTTTAGAAAAACCCGGTAAATTTTGTGGTCGTTTACTGATGATAATTCGGTGTGGTTCAAACGCTTCCTCTACATAAAATGCCACCGTTTTGGGAGACTATTCATTAAACCATTATATAAAATTAGTTTTAAAACTAGTTGTTAATTAATGATAGAAAATACAAAGTCTTACAGGTTTACCGTAAGCATAAAAGCCGAAGAGTTCTTTCCATCCCGAGACGTTACACTCTTGTACTTGTCTGATCATGCACCGATAAATTCGATCATTGACACTAGCAGGAATACCAACAGAAAAATAAACGAGGTCTTTGTAATAAACGAAGTCTCTGATGTCTCTAATGTCACTGAAAGGTTTTTCATACTACATTATTCCATAATTATATTTTACAATTTCAATATTAACTGTTTACCCATCCATGATCGCAGTTTATTTTTGATTTGTAACTATTGCAATCTTTCGAGTTTGTTTAATTTCTTTATAATAACTAATTATAATTTTCGTTACACTTCTCCCCAAAAAACACATGACCCGTCACTTTTTTTTATTTCTTGATGGCAGGGATCCGTTTCAAATATCAGTCACACGATTGTCACACGTAAAAATTAAAGCATATTATGTCGATCGATTTAAAAAAATCGATTAATCATATATGTGAATTTTTTTGTCCAAAGTCTTAGCCAAAACGTATAAAGTTTCCTAAAACAAAATTATTGTTGAGATTTCTATGAACAGAGCAGTGCAAAGATCATGAAAAACTAATATCTTCCTGTAAAGTGAAACATCTTTGAAATTGATATCTATTTTGCTTATTTTTGCTAGATTATTCTTTGATTTACAAATTCTTGTCATAAAAAGTGATTCACCAAATAATAACCATCTACAAAGTGGGATTAGTACATTACAAATATGTGGAAGAAAATTAGGAAAAGCTATTTCATGATATAGTATAAATAATAATATTTCTTTTAATTAAAAAAAATTTTTTTTATGATTATTAGAATGTATCTATTTAATCAAATACAAGTCAAAATATATGCAAGATTTAAAATTTTCTATTTATTTAGGCAAATGCTAATTGTTATTCTTAGCTGGTACTTTAAGATTTAACTAAATAAAAAAGAAGGTAATATAAAAGTTATAATAATAATTTGCTTTGGATTGTATAGATTCTAGTATAATATTTAATTCAAATTCATTCTGAAATATATTTACATATATCTTTTTTAATTTCTTATATTTATTATATTATTAATCTCAAACTCACTTTGATATCTAATAATCAGCATATTATGATAATTTTTTTATCAGCTCATTGATAACTTTTCTAAATAATATAATGAAATCTTTATATGTTTTAAATTTATTCTTCAATCTTTATGAATTTGTATTTTATTGAATGTGATATTTGAAAAATGAATTTAGAAGACAGATAAATTTCAGATAATAATATTAATTATAAGTTTTCTTTATTAATTTTTTTAACTTTTATATTAACTAATTCTGAATTAATTTCTTCAACTTTTATATTGTTACTGTTTTAAGATTATGCGTATGTAATTATTTTAAAATGGTAATAGTGACTGTGTTCATGGCAATTGTTTACTTTTTATAGGTCCAAGAGGGTTATACGACTAACTATTCTTTTAATAAGGTAAGGTGTATAAGATTTATAACTGACGAATTACAATTATCTTCTTAATAAGATAATTTATACGTGTTTTACTTCTTAATAAAAATACGATTATCTTCTCAATAAGATAATATATGTAAATTTACTTTGACCAAAATGCTCTCTCAATAGAGCAAGAAGAAAATAAGATAAGATATAAGATAAAATATGTGTGTTTATTAAAG